GGGGTAAAGGTGCCGAAACGAGGGCAATAACGCTGAACTCCTGAGGTGGACGACGAAGAACATACTCAAACCATCTCTGTCGTCTTTCTTGGATGGTCTGGGTTATTTTTGCGATGTTGTCGCAGCGGGTGCGGGTTGTCTCATTTGAGACGAAGTCGGTGTACTTCACTTGGAGGATGACCCTTAAGTCGTGGTGGCCAAATACATCCAGTTTTCGCTCGTCCTACACGCGCACAGCCTAGCATTCACAACCATAGGGAAGGACAGACCAGACAGATGCACGATATCCGCGGATGTTGGTGGCGATGGAGATGCCGCGTCAGATCCATAGGCACTTCCTAAGGCTTGAGGAAACCCGCCGAACAGCATCAATTCGGGAGAAAATGTCGTTCTTACTTTGCCTCTTCGGTAGCACCCTCGTCCCTAGGTATTTAAAACTGTTTACTTCTGCAAGTTGACAGCCACGAATCCCGAGAGGTGCTTTCTTCTGGTCAGGGATGCAGCTTGAAAACACTTTAGTCCTCCCAGCGTTTATGGATAAACTGACCGATTGAACGACCTCGTTCACCCATGACACGATAGATTGCAGATCACCAAAACTTGAAGCAAGTAAGGCACATCATCGGCACGGTTGAGATTAGTCGGTGTCCGAGTGCTAACTCAGCTCTGTCAGCTTCGTGTAGGGCCCTCCGGAGAATCCAGTCAATAGCGTAGTTAAACAGGATGGACGACAGGATACAACCATGTCGAACGCTAGACCGAATACCAAACGGTTGGGAAGGATTGTTGCGGACCAGGACTCTCGCAGTGGTGGAGCGATAATAGGCCTTGATCATGGCGATGATTTTTGGTGGTACCCCATCTAGTGCCATTGTCCGCTGCAGGAACTCACGATGAACGGAATCGAATGCGGCGACAAAGTAAACAAATCAGGCGACCGTTGGTTGCTGGTAGCTATGGCGGAATTCGAGCATGCGCCTCAGTGTGAATGCTTGGTCTGCACATCCACGGCAAGCACAAAATCCGGCGTGGTTTGGCCTCGTTTTTAGAGTCACGCACAGCCTGAAACCGCCTGAGAAGGACAGTGGCGAAGATCTTCGCAGCAACTTCAAAGAGACTTATGCCGCGGTAGTTCTCGCATCTTGTCTTATCTCCCTTCTTGAGGATAGGTACAAAGACGCCTAAGCCCAAGTCATCAGAAACAACCTCGTCTCCCCACGCTTGTTAAATCACCTCATGGAGCCAGGGCGCCAGAATGTCGATGCAAGACTTGTAGATTTTAGCGGGCACACGGTCCTCTCCGGATACCCTGTTGTTGCGTACCCTTCGTATGGAATCGGGGACTTCTCCCTCAGAGGGGGGTCGCATGATACTGCATAATTTGGAAAGGGGAGAAACTCCGCTGCAGAGGAGACCAGGGACGCAACTGGATGGGTATCGACATTGAGATGGTGCTCGAAGTGCTCACGTCAGCGCTCGACTTTGGCCGAGTTGTCAGTAATACAGCCGCCACTCACGTCACGAACAGAGTCACTCAATGCATAGGGCTTACTACTAATTTGGCGGATAAATTGGTAGAGTTTCCAAGTGTCACCAACGTTTGATGCCTGTTCTATGGAGGCCTCTGTTTCAGCCTAATACTGCTTACGGCCATCTCTTGGCGACTTTGCCGTCGTCTTTCGACGTTAGCGGAAGGAATCCTCATTACGGGACCTGGATCGAGCCGTCTGAGCAGACAACTGCAGGGTTCTTTCCCTGATCCAGTCACTGCGGCGTCGCTGGGTATATCCAAGGATTTTCTCAGCTGCTTCATAGACGGACATTTTCAGTGACTACCACTGGTTACTGCCTTCTTCGTCGGCTCGGGCCGTAAAATGGGACCTGATTTCTCTGCGCAGGTCCTCGGCAGTGCTAGTTTGTCAGATTTTTGCGACATCGAGGCGTCTAGGACGTGATGCTTTTGGTGTGGATGAGAGGTGAACTTTCAAGCGTGTACGAATGAGGACATGGTCCGACCCATGGGCTTTACCGGTCTGGACACCACGCATCAGTCCTCTATCGTGGACCCAGCTGCGGAACCTTGAGCTGACTAGTATGTAGTCAGTCTGACTGGCGGTATGACTGTCGTTTAAATCCCAGGTCAGGAGATGCTTGTTGCGATCCTGGAAGCACGTGCTGGTGGCAAGCAGTCGGTTCTGGCCAATGAAGTCAAGTACTCTCTTGCCGCTGTCACATCGGGAACCGGTCCCAAAGCGACCAAGAAGACGACTGTTTGTAGTCGCCAGGTCCAGTCTGACCATTCCAATCCCCGGAAACAGGCATTAGATCGCAGCGAGGGAGTCTTTCAATTAACGCATGCACATGCGAGTACAACGCTTCTCTATCGCGCTGTTAGGCAGCTGAAGCTGGTATGTATAGAGACGATGGAGATGTCCGTGAAGTGACCCTTCAGTCGCACGTAGGCCATCTGGACATTGATAGGTTCCCAAGCAAACAGCGCGAGGTCCGCTTGTTGCAATAGGGCGATCGCCACACCGTGTCACGTGGGCCGCTGTGGTACAGAGCGATGTGTGATTCGACTCCAGGGACTTTTATTTCTCGATAGCCTGAGTCAGGAAGTCGAACTTCAGACAGACAGCAGACATCCACGTTGTCCTGATAAAGGCTGCGCCCAGTCAGACTTTGGGTACTAGGGTCTAGGAACGTCCGTACATTCCAACATCCATTACCAAGTGTCCGTACCCTATTGAGTGTTCCAGCCCGCATACTATTTGCCCGCACCACTGGATCAGGCTTGCGGATCGCGTCGGTTCCCGCGGACGCCGTATCGTGGGTCGTAACACTGTGATCGGACATATTTCATGAGGTTTCTTGGGAATTTCGAGTACTGGTGGGTCCCCAACAACCGCTCGGATTGTTTGTTCGAGGTTGTCTCCCCCAGCGCTTTGGCTTCAAAGCCTAACTACAAGGCAACTGTGGCAAGCAAACTTATTTAATGGCGGTTCACGGTCGCCATGTTACAATACGGTCATCCGGTTTTATGGATTTTTTATAAGACTTTCAGCGTGCCAGACCTCAGCTCTCCGCACCCTGGTAGTCCCATCCGCAGTTGTTTATTCCTCTGCTTATCTCGCCGCTCACCTTCACTGAAGGCCGTTCCACTATCCGCCACCTGTGGACGCGCCGGGTAGCCAACAGATAGGCTACTGGGCAACCCGTCTTTCCATCGTCACGAAACCCCAAAATATTGGCTACAATGCGGGTAGGTGTAGCTCTGTGAGTTTGATCTTGCTACGCAGTACGTTCCTCCTAGTGGTGTGGATTTCGTATTGTAGTAGTCTGTTTTAACAAACTGCGTTGACGGTCTAGTATGTTACCGTAGGCAACTAAATCTAAAGCGATGTTCTTCCAAGACAAAACCTGTTTTTTGTTCGTCCGTTGAAGTCCCGGTTAGTTCTCAAGACTTTGCCCGGGACTACATGAGGCAAATGCTCACTACTCTTCGCGTAGGCAATCAGGCAGACGAAATCGGGTTCTTGCCCATGCATGCTCACGACAGCAAGACATTTCCTATATGCGACTGGCAGGTATTTGTCTGTTGGCAGGCGCTGTTGTTCCATTATTTCTATTGGGGATGAGGAAAGACACATCCTTAAATTCTGGAGCGCCAATCGTCATCTGGTTAACCAAATCAACTGACTGCATTGTTTAAAGCATTTCCTCAACTACCCAGGTCTGCCATCCCTTTCTGTTGATTGACACTGACAGTCCCCTGTGATGACAACCGTCGTTTACGTTACTGTCAAGTTTATATCAAAACCGGCCATTCCACGCGTATTTTTCTGGCAAGGTTCGGTCCAGTAGAACTCTTAACCTATGAGAAACCGCCAGTCAACTCCGTATCGAAGTTCTTGTTTTAATAAGAAGCGCGGTCGATAGGGGCTTGTCCATTAAAGACGACTAAGCTACACCTTCTTACGCGTTTATAGCTCTCTTAACCAGGTTCTCTAAGCGCATAACTTCCACGGGTCTGTTAGTTAACGTAAAGTTTAGTGGGCATTGTCTAATGCCAGTGAACAGTTGACCAAAATGTAACACATCCAGTTCGCTTGGGATGTGCAGGAAAATTACCGAAATTTCCTAGCAGCCTTGGCGAACTCTAAGTTAATAGCCTTGTTCGTGGCTGAAGTTGTGGAGTCGTCAGTTACTCTGATAAATAGCGTACTTTCTGTTGGACGAATGTTTCTCAGGTTGATTCTGATTTTCGCCATCGGAGCTACCCCACTTTGGTATTTGTGGGGCTAGTGGCACACTACTCATTGAATTGAATGGGAAGTTCACTGTACTGTTTGATTGCCTTAACCTCTAGAAGTCAAACCCACAGCGTTGACCGCTTTGGCCTTCATATTTTCTTAACCCTAAACCATAGATCCCAAACAGTTGGCCGCTGCTAGCCGTTTTTCCGTGCTGTGCGATTTGAGATCGGGATCCAACTCCCCTGCCGCTAACCCGTGTGCATAAGCCGAGTCTGCGGATCCCGCCTGACAAACTACGTATGGTGCTTACCTAGGGCAGCTTCCTGACAGTTAGAATTTGCGAACGCATACCAGTGAATTTAATAGGCAGTTAAGCCTCCTTGATGGTGAGGAGTTGACCTAACTCAAGAGCCTGATGCGGCAGAGCCAACAGTATAGTAATTATTGCAATCGGGCACTATGATAAAGTTTGCCATTGTGTTCCAGTCTCAAATGAGTAATTGTCGGTGGTTGCGGTCAATTTAGCTATTTTGCTAGGCCCGACTTTGTCCAGCAACGATGCTGTCCATCAAGGGAAAACACCTTTCTACCCTCGTCATCATATGCACATAGTAGTATGATTTTACCCACGAACTTCCTATTGCGAAACATCGTAATGACTTGGGGATATACTAACCCGAAGGTCTCTGGTTGTATGAATGCATACATCAACTACTTAGCAATACCAAAGAGTAATTTCTGCCTTTTTGATTTATGGGTGTATGCAGGTTTTCTGGAGACACACTCGATCTCACTCATTGCATCAGCCAACCGCTCCTGGAAATGGACGCAGTGTCCAAGGTCCTCGAGCAGTCATGGGGTTCAAAAGGGTAAACAGCGGTTGTCGCCCCTTTGCTTTGTCCTCTATCCGAAGACATGTGAATAACGTCGCGGTATCCCTTGTTTGCACCACGTACTTCCTTCTGTGCATGATTATGTATTAGTCTATCACAGATAACTGGCTGATGGGCTTTCCCACCGTTAGTGGTTCAGATTCGGACAGAAATTTCGCCGCGCATGTAACAAGAAACTTCCCAGTGACCAAGAACCACGGTTTTTATACGATTTAGGACTCCCCAACACTAGGTGCGGCAAGAATGGAGACTTTATCCTGTTCCCTCGATCCCCCACGTCCATTCGCAACAACTGGACCACGGTTGGTTTAATACTAAGACTTTACAAAACCTAGGCCGCACACTGCCGCGTTACGAACGCCGGCCCCACCTAGGACGATTCGTGCGCTGCCTGTTATCTGTACGAGTGTGAGCCGTCCGCATACCGGACCGCAGGCCTAAAATGCATAGGACGGTGCCTCTTGCCAGTTCAATCGACTACCTTCCAATTTCTTTTTCTTAAGCATTTAATTGTTTATTTTTTTTCGTCAGCACCATGCTAACTTGCAGGCAGCCAACAATACGAACCCTGCGATCTGTACAGGCTGCCCAAGTTCGTCGAAGGCATATACCCCCTCCAGGAACCCTTGAACAGCGGTTATTCCGCGAAGTCACGAAGCCCATATATAAGGTACCAAAGCTGTCTCGCGCTGAGAAGATCATTCTGCGAATGGAAGAAAGAGATCGTCAGGTTCGAATCATATTTCAGCCATAAGTTTGCCTGAATTGCTTGACAAATTCTTGCTTGGCCGAGCATCCTGTCACGATATTTTTCTTACAGAATTTGGAAAATCCCTATCGTAACTTCCTAGTTCGGAGGGCGAAGACGGACTTCTACGACTTTGCGGAAGACAGAATTATGCTAATCTACCAACCCTTCTATTGCCATTCGTGGGAATGGCAACCAATTTTGAACAAATTACATCACATTGGCTTTTCTTTTCGTGGGTTCCCGGTCTCAGTCCTTCGGTTAGTCTTTGAACCCCTAACAATACCAGTCCTGTTTGCCGTTAGGTTTTCCCTAATTAGCGTGACTTTTCCTGCTTTAGAGAAGCAGCAAAGAACACTAAATGGCAGGCCTTCGCTGACCACGTTCTACGGGAACCAATCGTTAACAAGTATCTCTTTGGAAGCCATGACCCTGCGGCCTGTGCGAAAGCCCTGGCTATCACTTCTCGAACACGTTTTCTCACACTCATAGGTACGTTTTTGAGAATGTCCCCGTATTCAACATGAAAATCGTTTGGCGTGCCCTCCCCCCTTACTTTTCAACCCTTTACAGGTGGAGTCATTGGTCACCGTATTATGACTCGTGATGAGGTTAAAACATACGCCAATTTCGGTACATCCGGTGGTTTGGAAGCCCTGCACTCCCAATTAGTGAGTACTTCCTCACTTCCCACGTCAGAGTTGTCTTCTAAACTAATGCACCATACTTCTGAATTGGTATGTATCCTCCATCAACATGCATCCACTAAAAGTGCGGAATGCGACGACTCCAATGGTTCGGACAAGTGAAGACTCAATCTTAATACTTTTGTAGGAAGTGTACAAATTGCCACTCTTTCCTTTTTAATAAAGATATAGACTAACTTTAGACCGTGTTGCTGGCCTTCTATCACTCTCGGAAAGTGGCCGACCTAGCAGCCATGCCGCTTCTAGTGATATCCCGGGATACTATGACAAACTACCGTGCGAATTACTACTGGATGTGAGTATGCAGAAAGCGGCTTCCTCCGACGAACTGAGGGTAATAAGAGGGCCTGCTCCAGTGCGTTTATGTGCTGCTATTAAGAACAATTCAAGTGTCAGGACGAGAAAGTGAGGAGAGTATGCAGGAAGGAGTGCGTCACCACTACGCGGCGATAAGAGGTTCTGCAAATAGCAATAAGCTCCTTGATTTCGACGCACCGAGGCACTTAATGACCACTGATGACTGCGCCCGAACCAACAGGACGATGACCACCACACTGGAAATATGACCCGAACACAATGAGCCCGCTTTATGTGAAGTTGATCCATGGCGCCCATACCGGTGGCGTCACTGTCTCAGTGACCACGACGTGTCGAAAAGAGCACGGTCGACGAGGAATTACGGAGTCGGCCGTTTCAGAGAACCGTCACTGCCACGGCCGCCCGTCCGACTGTCTCCAACCACCCCGCCCTGCCAGAGACGTTTTCCTTTGAAAATAGTTGATACGAACAGAGGTATACTCCCCACATCTCTCGTAAAGAATGCTACGCCTCGAAAGGCGTCGATGCAAAAGCACAATCTAACCAACTATTAGTCTAAGGGCGGCTAGCCAGTAGAGTGCCAAGACCTCATATGCTGTTGTCCGCAAGGCAGGACGACAGAAGTCTAAAGTGGTGTCCGACATAGAGGGAGGCTAATGGTGGAATCGGGTCCCACATGATTTTACAGATAACCCAGTTCAACATTGGAGATGTTCAATTCTTCAGAGAACTGATGCGCGTTAACGGCGCGCTCATTGGAGAAGCCTATGACGTAGACTTCAAAGCAGGAAGTCGGTGACCACAGTTACCGTCCACTTTCAGTGACCTTGGGGCCGTACATAATTTCGAATGCAGCTCACTATATACTAAGAACACCCTTATTGCGATAGGAAAATTTGAAACAAAACAGCCAGTGGAGACTGCCTCCCAGTGGGAGACTAGGTGTTATTCTGAAATCCCGGTTAACAGCGTACAAGGCCCTCTTACCCTAACATTGCAAACGCTGACCAAAGTGAAATTCTGAAGGGACTATTCTCGTCCATCTCTGAGCAGTGCACAACTATCATTAAGTAATCCTTGGACGTGCTGCCGGAACCTCCACAACAGGTCTTTGCCCAGTCCCTTCTCTCTGTGATGCGATGCGTGAACGAGACGAAACGGTCTCAAGCCGACGCAGAAATATATGGATAGGCGGTCCCTAACTCACCGATCCCTCGAACACAACCAGTGGCCAGCGATCCACGCGAGCCCGTTTTCGCTTCTGACTATCCGTGGGGCTCCATGTGGCCGATCATGTTACCCCACATGCCACCGATTCTGTCGTGCCTCGTTTCCATACTGCAGGACAGGAACCAGTTCGAGGGAATAAATAGGGAAGCTATCAACTTGCTATTCTTTCCCGGTGCCCTCCAGCGCCCAGTTCTCTCACTATTACTGTCCAAATAAGTGATGGGGTGGCTACTCCGGAGCCTACTGCCCGACAACTTCACTAATGCGGTATTTCGTTGCCACTTATCACAGACCCCGATTGCGCTGGTAGCAGTGCGGTTCTATCGGAATCCTTTACTGAAAAGCAGTCAATGTCTGTGCCGGGGGACGGGTATTGTTGTCTTGAGACAAGCTTACTAAAGACGGATACGTATTAATGGACATCAGTACCAGATGTAGGCAGAAGGGGGACAGACAAGAAAACTGTCACCATTATAGCCATTTCATTCATTCGTTGTTGTTACTGATCACAAGTCCGTTCTGTGTCAAGGTGGTTGAATAACCCTACCACGCTATATGGAAGTCTATGTTAGAGCCAGATTTTTACCTAAA